CTACAACTACAACTGCAACTGCAACTACATTTACAACCACAACTGCAAAAACCACACCACCACCACCACCACCACCACCACCACCACCACCACTACAACTGCTGCTACTGCCTGCCGCTGCTGCTACTACTACTGCCACTCCTGCAACTGCTGCTACTGCTAATACCTCTGCTATTGCTCCTCCCCCTACTGCTGCTGCCGCTGGTGCGACCACTCTTGCTACAAGTGCTACTCACACCTCTCCTCGTGTACAAGCCAAAGTGCACGCAATTGCAGCTGAATGTTTGTCCCTGGGTCAGAGCTGCCTGCGAAATCTTGCTTGACTAAAACGGAAAAATGCCATAACAACTCGTAAAACCCGGCACACAACTGGCAGGTGGCGAAGCCATGGACTTTAGCTCCAAACTTCTGCAGGGATTTGACCAATGACTCCTCGGACACTCCAACGGTGTGGACACGATTAGGTGCCAGGATGTCTCCGTTGCTTATGTTCCAGGATGGACTCGGTCAAAGGTTCCATAAGGCAGATTTGAGGCCAAACATAAGACTAGTGTAGGTGGAAAGGATACTTTTCATTCCCTGAGCACAGAATTCGAACCCGCACAATCCCTGGCCGCACCTAAATCCAGGCTCGCAACCACCAAAGCCGCCACAAGGATTCGCCAATTGACAAGAGCTTCGCGGGTGTCAGATGTCGAACCCTAATGACAAAGTCTTTGCTGTTACAGCCCCTGAGCGCTGCCCGAAGCCTCCCGTGCTTTTGGGCACTTCGAGAGCTCATTCACCAGCTTCTCCCGTGACGACGTTCCGTCTATCGGCTCCCTACAGCATTGCACTGCAGTCGCCGGCCAAAGGTCTTGGGACAGCCAGCGCTAAGCAGACTCCTGATGGATAAGCATCCTCTTTCACGGAAAGTTACTCGTGTGAGTCGGGGCTATGGACCCTCTTGGCAATGATTGAGACCCCTACGGCCCTGCAGAACACAAACACTGAGCCCCACGTCTTTTAGGAGGACCTGTCGGCTCGCGAATCCTCCGGGCACCTCCGTTCCTGCAAGTCTCTGACATGGAGCACTTCCTTTCAGGTTTCGGGGCCCCTTTTTTTTGAACCCAGACTCTGTTGATCACCTGGGAAGCAGGGGCCCCGAAACCCTAAACCTTAAGGACCTACACCCTGACGTGGTGAAGTCTGAGTAAAGTCCAAGTCTCGACCTTACTCGGGTCGCGCCCGTGCACAATAAGGGTGCAGCGCTCCTGCAACGAAGCTGGGTGGAGAGTTGCCAGGGTTTTAACACAAATGGGTTCACTTTAGGTTCAGATTCGCACCTCAACCCCAGATTCTGCCACCTTTCTTGTGACCTCTAATTCGTGGTTAGGATCCTAAAACAAGAATATTCGAGAACTTGCGCTACAATCAAGGTTACTTGTAGCAGCCTGACCGACATGGGTGTAGTTGATTCTCGGCACTTTTCTATTGCTGTGGTCCTTCTTTTGGGGAGCACTGCAACACTTTCTGCATTTACCAAAACCGGGCGAAATCTTTGGTGCCTGAAATTCGCGCTCTGAACATCTACATTGCTAAAGAAGGAATTCCGTTTCTTCCACGTCGTCATAGGCCGACCTCTGATGGCTTTATCTCTGCCATGAACCTCGATTTCCTCTGCGGGTTCGAAGCACAACACCTACACCCCCTCCCCCCCCAAGTTCCTTCGCCAGCAGCTCGGCCGTGAACTCGCCAATTCCCGACGTCGCCCCTGTGACGAAGAAGACGCGGTCTTCAAGCTTCGCCATGGCTCTGGAAAGACCTACTCAAGAAGCCTAAGCAGTTGCGAGTATTATTCCTTAGGGTTCCTTATTATAACTCTAGTAAAAAGGAGACCTATCGTGATTGTTAAGGTGCCTACATTAGTAGTGCAATACGGGGGCCCTTAATAATCAGAGTAGAGTTTGGGGTACACCAAAGTATAGGTAGAATGAGGAACCCTCAGTGACCATTATGCCGACCCCTATATTGCTAAAGTAAGCTTGACGGCAGCAGGATGTAGCGATGATCTGCATGATGTCACCAGCAGGCTGCTATGTGTCCATAATTTGGGACTGTCTGCAGGGGCGCAGGCTGCGGAGAATTGCACTGAAGAACGCTGGCTTGCCAAACAGCTGGTAACCCTAAGCGAAGAAGATTTGTGATCGCGACTGCTCTGGATAGGCGTCAACATCTACAGCCAGCAGTTTGGCGCTTTGATACTTGTAATAAGTGCAAGGCGATGGTGCCACAGGAAGTCCAACACATTTCCCGTCTCCATGAAGCACTCATGAGCAACAAATGCCGGAATCATGCCGTTTGTGTTAGCAACGAGCGCGGCGAGCGAGTCTTTTCGAGTACACTTTGCACTGAAACAGCACAACCTTGCATTAAACGGACGGTAAAGCAGGCGCCATGGCACGCAAAGGTTTCAGCAGGAAACGACCGCAATAGTGGTAACCGAGAAACAGCCATGACGGAGGTCGGACTTGCCACTTAGTAACTTAGTACCAGCTCACTTCAAAATTTAATAACTAAGTGCAAGCGCACAACTGTTTCAAGAAGTCCTGGACGGCGGTTGTTGCTGCTTCTACGACTATCACAGTTGCAAGATTGTTCTTCACTTTCAATATTCTTCATGTTACCACTTGCATTGCAATCATTGATTTCTTCGTACTGCTACCATCTCCGGTGAACAGTAACCCCTGATAGCCCCTCTGCAATCGTAGTACGATATGCTCCGACCCTGTTCCAATCATATCCTGTAAATCCAGCAAAGCCTCCCTGCTCCCCGCGCCTCGAAGCCTTCGATGCGGCGCTGGAAGGGATTGCCTTCCCAATCCACGGCCTCACAGGAGGTACTAGAAGAGTGACAAAAAGAGGACTGTCAGAGGTGCTACAATGTTTACTATACGGGGTGCTATAGTTTCTGCTCTAGGAGTTCTCGCTGATTCGACAGTCTGTTAAACGTGTCACTGAACCGAATGGCAAACCAGGCTGCCCTCTGAAATCCTATGACCTGAACTTATATTCTGAACTGTCTTACAACTGGGCTCCTATCCTGAACCCTCAAACCCAAATCCCGACGCTTCGGGGTTACCAGTGGCAGCAAGCCGACATGCACGCAGACCAAGCCGACAAATGTGGGATTTCTGCCTTCCCAACAATTGATGCCGAGTGACTTATCATAGATAGTTATTCCTTACCTGCCCTTGATTTACTACAGCATCATATACACCACAACCGTGCTAAAATATGAAAGCCGCTATAGCCCACTACAGTCGGGCTTGAACGGTCCAAGGTCAAGGAGGCATAGCACCACACCACTGGGATCTATGTCGAGGCGGTCTCGACCAGGTCAATCGCTGAGGTCTACGCACAATACTAGTATATTACATGAGCCTTCATACTTCGCATACGCTTGGAGCGGGCGGGGGGAGGGGACGGTGCATATACGTGCTACATATAGGGACTAAAACGGGACACCTTTGGCAATTTTTCAGACCCCTTGACCAACCTACGCAATCACGAGCTCAGTTCGAGACATTCCAAGATGCAAGACAGAAGTCAGCCAGTCTACCAACGACGACTGGAAAAAGTGGGTTTCGTGGTGTCAGACTATTGTAAAATGAAACATGAAACCTTCAAGGATACAAGTACTAGTCTTTCGCATGTTACTAATACTTCAAGCCTCCATAAGTATTAGAACTTCTCGTCATCCAGAGAATGCAACCTCATTATCTGTCGCTTGAGAACAGGCCCAAACACAAAGGAACAACTCTCCCAGCTCAGTAACGCTGTACAGCGTGGCAACATCATCAAGATGCACCGTTTCTACCAAACGTTGAGGTAGAACTCAAGTCGGATGTCTTAAGGGCAGCCACGAAGCGTGAACAGGAAGCTCGGTCAAAAGGTTGGAGCTGGCATTGAACTGAAATTGAGTTTCGATGGAAAGCAGCATAAAACTCTCTAGCAGCTCTCCATCTGCTCAGAACTTTCAAAATGGATGGTGCTCATCAACACATCAAGAACAAGAAACTCCAAGTTAGTTACAGTCATCTCATCACATCAGAGAAAGCCCGTTGAGCGCCCCCCCCCCCTTCCACGCGAGGATGCTCTCACGCCAATTTTTGCATGTAAGCTTCAGATGCGGACAGTTGGGCGATGCTTTGGCCCTTCTCAATGCCTTGTCCGGATTGCAGGATCCAAGCACGAGCGTAACATGCTTCTGGGTGTATTCCTTACTATCTTGAAATCTGCTTCCATATACCATGAAATACTCCAGAATACTACAATAAACAAAATTCTACTAATTTATTATAATATCCTATAAGATACTGGGGACTAAGGAGTAATCTTACAATTTAGCTAAAATTAGACGACCGGGCGCCAGATGTACAGGCTGGAGGAAGCCGACATGCCGGCGCGCCTCCAGTGACCCATCATGACTAACCCGAGAATGACTACGGCCAGATCCAACCGAATCTGCACGGGATACGTGTTGAGAAGCCTCAGGCGAACATCCTACAGAAGCGGAAGCGACGAAATGGTTGCACAAGAAGTCTGCAAGACGAGCCGGCTCCTGAGCCCTCAAGACGTTGCGATCCAGTTGATACTCACTGGTAGACAACTCTGACATGGTTTAGCATGAGTCAAACCCGGAACCAGAATCGTAGACTCTTAACTCTTAACCCACCAGCCCTCAACGAGAAGCAGCGCTGCTGCTCAGGGAGAGCTCACGCTTCGCACAGGGGTCGCAGGCCAGCAGCCCCTGAACTTCCTTGGCTTTTGCATTCATGGTCAGACAATATTAGGGCCTGAATTTATCAGAATACTTGGAGAATTGGAGTAGATGATCATATCAACTGAATGTAAGGCATGGTAGATCGATGAGGGATGCTACGAAATATTCGGACCTCTCTTTCCGGCTCGGGTTTCAGAAATGGGGTGTGCAGGGCTTGGTGCTTCTTCGGGTAGTCTTCGTGGGAAGACCATCCGATCAAACCGCATGCAGGCTGCCAGGCTTGTTTAGTGGGCAGTAGCACACACAGCAAGTTTAGCCAACAGCACGAACCACAAGAATTGAGGGAACATGCAGGATATTTGCCGTCGTAGCAGGAGGAAGAACAAGACGAAGTGCAGCGCGAACAATGGTCCAAAGCGCTGGCGTCACAGTCGCCAGGAAGGATATCCACTCCAGACCCCTTATTAAAACCCTTAGAAGCCTTTATAGCAACCTTTACAGGAACCCTGAAACATCAGAAATCGTAGCAACCTTTACAGGAACCCTGAAACATCAGAAATCGTTGCTGTATCGGGGGACAGCATGCTGGTTTCAGAGACTTCCCTACATCTCACACCAGAAGAAAACTTCAAACATGCAAAAACCGTCGAAGACCCACGTAATGACAAGCATCGAGTGTGCAAGCAGGAAATTTCCGGTTGAAGAGTGGCAAACGCAATCAACATTTAGTTCTATCTATCATCTATCTATCTATCTATCTATCTATATATATATATATATAATAGTCATTGTAGTATAGGACATGTGGTTGCACAGGTGGGCTGTGCTATTGGATGGCGTGCCATCCTAACAGCAGGCCATTGGCATTACTGCACATGGGTTCCCGAAACGACGGGCTTCAGGGGTCAGCACATGTCATTACAAGAAGGAAGGAGATCCAACCCAATATTGCAAGCTCCCACATCCGAAACAACACTTTGGTGCCAAGCCTCTTCGGCGGTCCCACCCTTCGTGGCCAAGACAGTCTCTCTTCTCTTTGGGTACGGTTCTTCTACCGGGGTTTAGGGTCTAGAAGGGCTCCGACAAATAGTTTCTGTTTCTCATCTACAGCAACTACTTTGGGAGCCCGAGTGTGTTTCGGGGACCAGCGGAATTTCACTTGCTTGGCGAGTGTCCATGTTTCTGTTTGATCGCTGAGGCGTCCATTCCTGTAGTTGGTGGTCGTTCTGCGAGATGACAATCTAAGTTTCGTTGACCAAAACCTCAGACTACCATGACGCTGCTTCTGATAATGGGCTGGAGCACCGTCGTTTGCCCCAGATTGTCTTCGAACAAAGTACGAAAAGCATGGCGGGGCCAAAACTTTCGCACGTTGGCATTTTTGAACACGGCGTCGCCGCTGTGATGATACGAAAGGCAATTAAGGCAACAAAAGCGCGATGTTTCTGCGCGGCCGAGTTTCTTGATTTTGGCAGGAATTGCAGCGGCAGGACGGGATGGAGGCTTAAGGCCAGGTTCTGCACAATGTGTACTTTGACCCCGCTTCGAACAATGTTAGAACAACATGGCAGGGCCGATACTTTCGCAAGTTAGCATTGCTCATCATGGTGTTATCGTTATGATATGCGCAGCATGAATAACAACGACGCTTCTGCACGGAAACATTTTGTGAATAAATGGTTACGGCATGGACGCACTGGCCAATGGATGGGTTGGTAGCATGGACGATATCATGGTTTGGGCATGGATGCACTGGCCAATGGATGGGTTGGCAGCAGGGACATGACACGATGCAAACCTGAGCGACAGAAAAGCGGGGCAGGGCAAACGAGGGCGATCGACCCTGATAATAGAAACTCTGCGGGCAATGATGGTTAGGGTATGGCACCAAATATTGCTTGCCTTATTGCCTTCCCTCTAAGCGCTTGCGACGTTTGCCGGGTAGCCTCCACATAGGAATCAGGGCCAAGGCACTGAAATTAAGAGCTCTGGTTAAGGTCACTTTGGATTTTTGAGGTTCAGGGT